TCTTTATTTGTATATTAACTATAAGCAGTCAGTAACATCACCACATGTTCACCGTGCACGTTAGCAGGCGCGTCAGTATTTAGGGCAGCAGAAAAGCACGCTGCAGAAACGTGACCACGCCGAGCCGACGCGTTCGGCGGCCTGGACCAATCAGAGAGCTCGGCGGCTGTTGCGCGTACAGCGTGTGGGCGGAGTCACGCACGACTGTAGGTGCGGTGAAGAGGTTGAGCGGCTACTCGCAGACGTCGGAGGAGCGTTTACTTTCTGCTTTTTTAGTCCTTCCTTTAAAGAAAACTCAACAAACAACCCGCTCGGTAGTTGAGGGACGAGGCACACGAAGCAAAGACGCAGTCACAGCAGCTAAGTATTTGCCCGCGGTACGTTTAGGACGACGAATTTAGCCAGAATTAGTATTTTACATAACCAGCTTTTCACGGCGGACGGATCCTTGCCACCGTGTCTTGTGGTCGTTAAACTGCACCAAACGTCAAATTACTACGCTAGTTAACTCTTGTTCAAGTGTTAGTTAAATAACACTCGCAGACGCGTTTTTTTTAGTACGCGTTTAGTTGTTATTTATATATAAATATATTATTTTTTTGCGTCAATTCAGAAAAACAAGTTATACAACAAGCAACGCCGGTGCTCGTCATCAGCGAACCGCGGTCCTAAAGCCCGCCGTGTTGCTAGGTCACATTTCCGTGCCCAAATGGTTCAGCAGACATCGGTTTTTAAATTCTTCGACATTATGGAAAAAGTCCTGTTAGAACAAGGTTAATTGCTATTTAAAAAAAAAAATAACTTTAAAAAAAAAAAAATATTTGGATTGTTTTTTTTTTTTTCTTGGATCTACTTTTTTTTCGAGAGGAGTGAGCACACAAACAAACAAACAAACAAAAAAAAGAGTTATCCAAAAAAAGGACTCGTCCAGTTGAGTAATGGTCATTAATACGATACACTGGTTCAGGAAGGGCTTGCGGCTCCACGACAACCCGTCGCTCAAGGAATCTGTGCTGGGAGCGGATACTGTCCGCTGCGTCTACATCCTCGACCCCTGGTTCGCAGGTTCTTCCAACGTCGGGATCAACAGGTGGAGGTGAGCGAAAACACAAACAAAATCCACGTGCAGTAGAGAACACCTGCACCAGTACACACCGCAGCTCTTCAGTGTGCAGCCGTGCACATCTGGATGCTTTTTGAGTCATGCAAATGTGGTAATCGATCAGTTTTATGCACTTTGAGGTCAGGTAATCAATAATGGAGCCACTTTTCTACCAAACGTGTGCTGCTTCCAGCTTCTTTTCATGTGAGGTTTTGCAGCTTATGTGATTATAAAGTAGCACACTCTGTGTTTGGGGCTGTTGTCACTTTTAATCATTTGTTTTGGAGAAAATAATGAGTGGATTAACCAAGAAAGTAGACTAAAGAACAGATTTAATGCAGTGTATTTTAACTGTTGCAGTGTAACTGATGCTTGTTGGTGTCACAGTAACCTACTAAATGTTATTATATAAATAATCTATCAGATTTAGTACAGCATTGTCAAACAGGTTGCTCTTACAATCTTGTTCTTTATGATTTTTGCAGAATATTTGACAAATACTGATAAAAATGAATAAATTGATTTGTTAAATTGGATAATATTAAAGTGTTTGGCTTTTATTACGTGGATTAATTCATGACTAATACATTATATCAATATACCAGGCATCATAATCATAATACATAATGGGGAATTATTGCTATCGGCGTCAGTGAGTGACTGATAGGTACTGTGTGTCTCTTACATCATGAGTTGTGGCCCTGGTGGTGAATGAAACTGTGCTTACAGTAAAGCAAACATCAGTTATACCTTCAGCTCCATGATTAAAGGAGGAAACGTCAGTAACACGTCATTAAAATGTTCCTTTGTCTTCTTCAACGGGTGACTTAGAGCTCAGATTCAGTATCAGTAGTGTCGGTGTGTTGATCCTCACCCTCCCTGTCAGACTATAATGACCAAAAATCAATGCGTTATCATCATGTTTGGTTGCCGTGCAGAGCTGGTCTGTGTTACTACAGCGTAGCAGCGTCAGTGGCGTTCAGATCGTTGGTTATTTCTTCCACAGAGACTTGGCAGGGACCTTTCCCATGTCCCAAGAGACCAGAAACACAGACTCAATGAGTCCCTCACATTCGCCAGAGCTGAGAATAATGGATCAACGAGCTTTGTTTGAATCTCTTCACGTTCATTCAGTAATGGACAAGTTGTCTGTCTGGACAGGAGCGGTCAAAAGAGAGTTTGGATGGTGAAAGTTCAACACGTCAGGGGTAGATCGTCTCCAATGGCAGGACGGAGTGCCTCGTTTAAAACTCTTCAGCCGGTGTCGTATGAGTGCCGGTCCGAAGCTTTACGAGCTCACGTGACGAGCGATAAGGAGCAGTTAGCGGAGGGTTTCCTAACCTTTAACCTTCCCCTGTTCTACCCCCCCAGCACACACCCTGAGGTAACCGCACTGTTACGAGTTCATCCTGTCAAAACAAACAGTGACCCAGACAGTTGTTCATCACCACCACAGCTGCTGAATGGATGCTGAGGTGCAGTGGGTGTTTTTTCCTTTCCCGCTGTGCGCTCTGGTTTGCGTCGCGCTCCCATGCCGTCACTGGGAGAGTAGGGCAGCAGCAGCAAAGGCGCGCCTGTTATGGAGCATCCATGTTATGTAACAGGAGCCTGAGGTGACGCAGAGCTCACATGCAGACCGCTCAGTACGCCCTGATTCATTCCCTCTTCACACACATTATGAGACATTATCAAACCCTTCATCTGTAAAAGCAGCAGGAGGGCACAGAGGAACACACATTTACAGGGTCAGAATCAGTCCGTTTGTGATTGTTGCTGTAGCATACACTCAGTTGCCTTATACAGAGAGGTGTTAATGTTATTCAGCCCACTCTCATTGATGGAAATGGAATAGTAGTACAAATTCAACACCAAGTTGTCAACCAAAACTCCTCTAAAAGCGCTTTAAACAAAAACTGCACATTATAACCTTGGTGAAGGGGGGGGCCGATCTGCAGGGCCGCTGTATTGGACTGCGTTAAGTGCCCCTACAGTCGAGTGTTACAAACAGGGCATGTTCTGGATCAGAGCTGAGTAATGATGTGCCACAGTGGGAGAAACAGAAGATCTGTGGCATTACAGCAGCTGTTCGTACTCACACCGTAACGATGTTTCTGTGTGACGTCTGGGATCAGCACTCGTTCCTGCACTAACAGCTGAGGAAGTGAGCAGAATAAAAACACAATCACAATAACTTTCCCCGCCGTGGCGTAAGTAGGTCAGTGTGTGAGTAGTGAACCTTTGGCCCTTCTCGTCTTATTGACCTGCTTCTGCAAGAGACCCCAGCTATCTGTGGAGCAGCGCAACACATCTGCCTCCCTCTGATGTCCTCTGTTCAGGCTTGATGCTGCACACTGTTAGGCTGGTCCACAGACTCCTGTGCTCTGGGTTTGGAGTTAGTTGCTCAGTGAAAGGGTGGAGTGCCCACAGGATGGAAAAACCCCGACAGATGACCGAGTTGTGTTGTGTGTTACAGTACAGCTTTGTCTTTATCTACACGCCCAGATGAACATGGATTAAACCTTTGTGTTGGAGTCAGATGCTGTGAGTCTGTTGGCAGCGTCGAGGAGAGAAAGCTACGCATGAGCTCAACTCCCAGGGCCTGATGTTAGAGGGCCATTCAGGGGCCATCAGATAAAACTGTGCTCCTAACAGCTTCCAGATGTGAATGTAGAAAGAAAAACACCACTCAGTGGATGTTAAGTAAAAAGGTTTAAAATAGGAACTCCCCCTGTGAACACTTCCTGTGAACACTTCCTCTGCTCCCATGCAACAGACACACACTGCTGTATCAGTAATGTCATTAACCAACAGTGTGATTGTATCATGAAGATGTGATTATATGGGCTTTATGCTTGGTACCATGACTCTGCAGAAATGTTGGCAGACAATAATAATAATATTTTGAGTGGAGAACTGTATAATGTCCGGTAATGTGGTCGCAGTTCTCATTTTTTAGAGATCCTTGTCAAACATGTTGTGTATTTCTATGAAAAATCAACATCAGCCTCATTTACAGTGGTGAATATAGAACATATAAATATATAAGAAGTTAAATAATAACCAGTATCCACGTAAGCATGGTTTCCACTGTGATTGACTCTCTAATAACAAAAGATGGAGCAACAAGCATCCAGAATATCCCAGAATCCACTAAAATGAATGCACAGCGACATGATGTCATCCTCTGTGCTTCATAACGTCGTAGGGTTTCTAAACTGAATTGTTCACATCGCGGTTATAAACAGTGAGAACGGTAAAAGACCCGGTTAGACCCGGATGGTTCAGGAAGCTTCCACCTACCAACTTTGGTGACTATGGCAACAGCACGGGAAGCAGCGCATTACTGCCGCTCTGCCTGCCTGTGTGTGTGCACCTGTGGGTGGGTGTGTGGGTGGGTGTGTGTGGGCGTGTGTGGGTGTAGGTTTTTTTATGTAGAAAAGTGAATGATC